ACGGCCACCGCGCTGCCGTGGATTCTGGCGAACCTGGTCAAGAACCCGACGATGCAGGACAGGCTTCGGGACGAGGTGTCCAGCGTCGTCGGCGGCGCGATGGCGAGGTGCGCGAGGACCTGCAGACGATGTCGTACCTCAAGGCCGTGGTGCTGGAGGCGCTCCGGCGCCACCCGCCGGGCCGCTACGTGCCCCCGCACGCCGTGCATGAGGACACGACGCTGGACGGGTACCGCGTGCCCGCCGGTGCGCCCGTCAACTTCGCGCTGGCCTCCACTCCTCTCGGCGGTCCCGGGGATGTCGTGGTGCTGTGTCGTCGCCGTGCATTGGGCGGCTTCTGCTGCTGTGGCGCGGCCTGCTGTTGTTGCTGCGGGGGCGGAGTCTGCGAGGCTAGTGGTTGCGAGAGGCAGTCATGGCGAGCTCCTGCGCTAGGATCTCCTGCTCGCGCGCGTTGGTGGCGGCGTTGGGTGGCTCGGGCTTGCCGGCAGGAGAACGCTCCGGCGCTCGATGGCCCAGGATGAGGCGTCGGAGAGGTCGACAGGGCGGAGGAGGTGCTGGTGGCCCAAGGAATCGGCCCAGGATAGCTTAGAGGCGGCGGATTTGGGGCGGCGGCGCAGTCGCCAGAAGCAGAGGAGATGCAGCGGGTTGTCCCAGCCACCGGCATTTGCAGGAGCGAACAGAGGAGGGGTTGAGTCGATGACGCATGGACCCCACATGTCACTGAGATGGAGGTTGCATTTTAAAACCGTTCAACGTCGGTCAAAACAGCCTCGTCCGCACCCAGGTGCTAAAAGTGAACGGTTTTGACAGTTGGGGTATCACCACCAGACGGTTTTGTAGTTGAGGGTTAAAATTAGACCAACACACTAGTTGAGAGGCCAAAAGTGGACTTAATCCTTAATAATATGTTTTTACAAAATTTGTTAGTATCATTAGTATATGAGTTGTTAAGGAAACAATATTTTTGATGAAACATAACATATATATTCATTGCTCATGTATGCCGACACAACGTGTATGCTTAATTACTTAGTCAAATCTTAATATAGTAACACTGACAGAAGTGGGTAATGCACAAATATACGTGCTCTATGGTTATTTAAAAAGAACTAATATGGGGATTATATTTTATATGTAGATTTGAGAGAAAAAATAATTTTTAACAATAAGATGAAAATTGGGTTACATAAATTATCTATTGTAATAGGAGTACGTGGGCAATTAGACATAAATTGAGATCTGCGTTAGATCATGTTTCTTAATGGTATATGTGGGTAGTTTAAATATAGATTCATGAGTTATAATATGTTGTTTCACGCAATAGTGGAGGTGGGTAATTATTTAGAAAATATAATAGATCCACTACCTATTATTATCAATGGTGATTAGATTATACTGAGTTGATGGTGAAATGTTTTAGATTTTTATGAGAATTTCTAGGATTTTTGTTTTCCTATTGTGTCTCATGAGGATTAAAGTGGAAGCTTCATTAAGGACCTCCAGTTAGCATCTCTGGTATTTATTTTTTTAGCGTGATATGTATTTAGTTGAAATCTAATCTTAAGATATATAAAATCTTGTTGAATCCCTTTCTGTGACTCCACGAATTAGAGTTTAGCTTTCAACCTTTAATCAAGTTGTACAATTTTTTCCACATGTTAAGTAGAAACTCTAGTTTTTTTTATCTTTTATTCAAAATTTATTTTTTATTAAAAAGAGTTTATGTCCTAGTAGTATTGTTTTCGCATGTTAATTAAGTTGAAACTCATATTGCACCTTAGCACCAAACTTGTTGAATTGTTATATCACATAATTATACGTGTATAGTATTGTTTTATATATCATAGAGTGCTAAAAATAAATTACCAATATGGATATGACATAATGTTTCAATTAAAATATATAAAGTTATTTAAAATAACAACTTATGAAATTGATTATTATGGAGTATTAATGTAATTTAAAGTGAATTGTCGGTGTTATGTTATTGCTATGTGGTTTGTTAATTAAACATTTTGCCATGCTTATAAGCTATTAAAATAAATAATTATCCCAATGTATATATGTTTACTTGGTATAGATGGTCATTCACAGTTTTGTGATCGATTGGTCCCAAACACAAAGCAGCTAGCAGTACTGCTGTGTCAGGCTAAAAACTGATGAATGGATTATTCATCCGTGTTTCCATTTATCCTGAATTTTATCGCACTGTTCAGTAGGTTGTAAGTTCGTTCTAGCCAACTCGTGATCTTGACAAGCTGCTTTAATTTAGTGAATAGCTGAAATCAAAAGAGCAACTCAACATACAGAGTCAAATAACCATCACAGGGCTATTCGATTCATCAATGGAGTCCCATTCTACACTAGGGCAAAAAAAATTTGTTTGCGAAGAACACTAGGGCCAACATCATCCTTGCGCCAAAGAAACTTGATGCCAAGCACATGGGGGACTTCCGCCGGATTAGCTTGATCATCCACAGCGTTAATTTCTGCGAAATAGGCTAAGCGATAGGTTCATTTTCTGCTAGAAGTTTTACTTAGCGCAATTCAACCCTCGTCTTGGGCATCTTGATATTTTCATCTTCCATGTTGTGTTCCACTTCCACCTGACAAATGTCCATGACACCAATGCTTAATTGTTGTCAGAAGTTGTATCATTTATAAAACGACTCCAACATAATTTGAAAGCCACATCAGTCATTCATGATTCGGTATAAATATTTATCTTCCAATAGCTGATCAGATTAGGAACACAATGTATACTCCACCTGGCACCATGTAAAACCCCTTACCTAATTTAGATAACTGCCCGGGTCACAAATTCACAACCCAATTTCAGCATTTTGCTCGTTATTTTTCCAATTCTTCTATACGCAATTACCTTGGGCATTAGTGATATTAGAAGCATGAGGTATCAGTACTGTAGCAGCAGTGTGGTGCCAATGAACATGATTTTTTTTTTTTTTTTTTTTGCCAGCAGCACACGTACCAATAGCTCATAAATATGGTCGCTACAATAGAACCATGGTACATTAAGATGCAGACTATGATCACCTGAAGGTAACATCATATCAACCAAGCTTGTCAGATGGAAACACCACTATGGTTATTGGGCAGAATAAAGCAAATATAATGTTCAATATTTGTCAAGCATCATCTATCTTTAGTTTAACTGGGTGATGTGTCTGATTACACTTTGGAGCAGAACAAAAATTAAATACCCTGTTCAATTCGAAATACAAGGAAACCATGTATTAGTAAAAAAAATTCAAATGGAACGGGCATTTATTTGTTTATTCAGCTCATTAGTGTAATCCAGTACATTACCCAGCAAAACTAGTAAAGATGATGCATGACAAATATATAGAAGAACAGTATATTTGCTTTATATCTTGCCCAATGCAAACCTGTTGCTGTACCTCAGGTGATTGCAGTCTCCATCTTACCGTAGGAGCTAGGCATGCAAATGCTGCAGCAGGGACCATGCATATGGATCTGGTGGCTACGACTTACCAATGCAATGTGTGTACATGGAATGGCTGCCTGCAGGTTGCCGACTGCACTGCATATATATATATATACACGGAGAGTATATTCAGTAGCTAGTTATAGAATAAGTTATTCTGTAGCTACCTCTATTGACGATAATTTTTATACTTAATTTACGATAAAGTGAATACATATTTACGATAATTATGTTATTATAACACATGGAATTATTTACCGTAACGTTATAGTAAACTACTTAGTAAGGAGTTACTATAATCTCGTAAATTAACATAATAATTATCGTAACTTAAAGTGACTACAAAATAAGTTATTTTGTAGCCACACACACATACATGCTTGCCGCATGTGAGAGTGTGAGACTGTCTCCAACAACCGCGACCTAAAATACAAGACTCATTCGTTATTTGGGTAGCGCTACAGGCAAATGGTTCAATATCTATTTTTGGTCTTCTAAAAAACAAAATCCAAAAGACAACTCTTTCTGCAAATAGATCTCCAGGAGAGAGAATAATTAGATTTAGGTTATGTCTCTCCTGACACATAAAATAGGTCTTCTATGTATTTACTCTGTTGGAAGCTAGCTATAGCTATTGTGTTGGAAACTTATTTTCGGTTTGTGTTCACGATGAGTCTCCTGTTGGAGAGAGCGTGAGTTGAGTGGGAGTGGGTGGTGGGGCCGGCAAACGGCTTCTTCCATCCGCAAGATGCGCACGCACAAGACGTGTTCTTGCGTTGTAACTGCCGGGCGCCGTACATGAAGATCGGCTGACAAAGATGAGATTGATCGAGACACGTTTGGTGCGTGCAGTGCTCTGGCCCCAACACAAACTAAAGCAGCTAGCGGAAGCAGTGTTGTTGGGTCAGTCTGAAGCTGAAGTCGTCTTTTGCAATTTCAGCTTACTAAAGAAGGCGTGTTCTGAATGAGAATTGAGAAGGCCGCAAGTTTTCAGAGTGTCCAGTAGCACAAATCAAGCCCATGATATATGAACCCTATTTTCTTTTGGCTTCCTTCTTGTTTAGCCTTAGATTTACGTGTATTTCCACTTATCCTACATTTTATCACGATTATGCAGTAGATTGTATGTAGGGTATTAGTTCTAGTAGGAATCTTGACAAGCTGCTTTAGAAAATAGCTGGAAGCCTGGAACCAAAAGAGCAGAGCACAACGTACAGAGTCAAATAACCATCACAGCGCTACTGGCTATTCATCAATCGAGTGCCGTTCTACACCAGTTCAGTACCAACTCTGTCACATCCGGTGTTGCTGCATCATCGACCCAGTCAACACAAACAGCTCAATGTTTTACAGTTCTCCGAGATTCAGAAACTAAGAGGAGGAAGACCTCCATCATGTCTACTGTTGTCAGTTCAGGCTAAGCAAGGGCCTTCTAAGTACTAATTAAGTTCTTGCCTAATATTAGTTTCCTGCTCACTTGGCTGTCAGAAATTACAATATCTCGCCATGTCAATACTGTTGTAGGCAGTTACAGTCAGAGAACAATTGCTGAGCAGTAGCATCTCTTGCCAATCGACTTCAACCCCGTAGTCACCCAACCACACCCTTCCTTGTAGCGTTCCACCTGACAAATCGCCATCACAATAATGCTTAACTGTTAGCAATGGCGCGTACTTGACAATTATTGTATACAGAAAAAAAACGACAACAACCAAAACAGCGTACTTAAGGAAACCAAAGAATTCATGTTCACTTGTTCAGATAAAATGCACTAGCCACTGACATGACAAAAAAAATTGTATATGTAGTAGGGACAGAAAAGCAAAATAATAAAAACAAGTGCTTAAGGACCCTAGAATATGTGCTCATCTCAAATGCAGTACACTTTCATGCCGAGACTGGTATGATAACAAACAACATATGCAGTTGATGTAGGCAGACCCTTGACAAAAACCAGTTCAGTGACTGCCTCACTATCAAGCCCTGGCAACTAAATGCAAGATTTTGGATGTATGATTTTTGGTTCCAGCTCAGTTGAATTATTAACAGCCAAATGGACACGATAAGAAATTTGTCATTTGGCGTTGCTACTTACCACATCCAAGATTGTATCTGCTTCACCTTTCACCCCACCAAAGGTGAATATTGAGCCACCGAGCACAGCTGAAGAATGATATCCTCTGGTGTAGTTCATGGGTTCAACCATCATCCATGACGGCATCCTTGGCTCATACACCTCAACAGTAGCCACCATTGCTTTAGCCCCAATGTCGTATCCACCAATCGAGAATCTGGAAGAAAACACAAAGGCAAATTACGTCAACAAAGGATAGTATACACCCTGATGCCCCCCCTCATTTGCTGGGCACGCGTTATATATATAGCATATTTTTCAGAAGGAACATCCTACATATCTTCAGTTCATTGTTTCAACATAAAAAGAAAGAGTTACATGACTTACATCTTCTCATCAAGCACTGTAAGTGTATGACAGCCCCTTCCTGCACTCATCTTTGGCACCATTTTCCAATTAGGCTCCCGAGGATCAAGTCTTTCAGCAGAGCTGCCAATACACATCACAAAGTTAGCAGAATAGTTTTCTTGTTGTTCCTCTCACTTCAAATACCACTGCCATTATAGCAATAGAGAATAGGCTAATGAACATTTATGAAATAATTCAGTTTATTTAGATTTGCACTTAACCATAGGCCACCGCATGAGGTTTAACTAACTGTTTTGAGATGTCTAGAGGCTTTATGAGCTGTTGTATTTCCACCAGATCAAAACTAAACCAATCAAGTACTAAGTACAGGCAGGAAAAGTACAGCACCTCAGATATTCAACACCATTGAAGCCACCAACAGCATAAATCACACCATTTAGTGCTACACCAGCTAGAGCAAAGCGCTGAAGAACAGTGTGACAAAGTCAGTCAAGCTAAAGTTTATCATATTATGTGGAGATTTGTGTCAGAAGCAAATATTTTCCCAAAAAGGACAGTACATCAAATTGAAATGGAACCAGGAACTGTTTTTCTTCACTGCAGAATTACACAGTTTTCATGAGTAAATGGTTATTATTTCCCAAGCTGTTTGTGTCTTAGGCAAATTTATGCATGTTCCACCAAGTCTAAGTGCTTCAGTAATGTATGAGAAAAAAAGTTTTCACATTCTAGAACAAATGAACGGTAGAAACCGATACCTTTTCCAGCATAGGTTGACTTTTTATCCACTTTCCATGAGTAGGATCAAACATCTCAACATCAGAGAAACACTCAGTTCCATCTCCACCACCAAATGCATAGATTCTCCCATTGACACTAACCCCAGCAAGGCTCCCCTTGTCACGAGTCAACGATGGGCATGTGGACCAATCATCACGGCTTCGGTCATAACAGTCAACTTCATCCAAAAGATAAATGCAGAATCAGGACAGAGATTGAAATACGAGAGCTCAAGAGGGAACTAAACTTAGAAGCCAAGTAGTAACCTGTATCAAACCAGCAAGCACCATCACCACCACCGAGAACAAATATCTTGCCCTCTAGTGCAACAGTTGAGGTATATGACTTGCCAACAGCCATTGATTTGAGGGGTGTTACTACGTCCAATGAAGGGGAAAAGAGTCTAGTGATGGCACAAATGAGAAGCCATCAAAACCACCAACTACATAAATGACATCTTCTGAACCCAAACATTGTTCTACAAACTGGTTAAGTGAATCGTCTAGGGTCAAAGGATCTATTTTAGAATTCAATGTCTTAACTGTTCCCTTTAGTTTAACAATTCTTTTCAGTAATCTCTCATTCACCCCTTGTAAATGTTTGACTTCTTTGTTGGACCAAGCCTGCATTTTGAACATAAATTAGATTTAACCACCAAAACTTTTTGCCAACAAATGAGATGTTTTTCCTATACTTTGGGCTTGCATCCTTTTTCTCTACTTCCATATTGAAAGAGTGAGGTTGAACAATCGATCATAGAGGATCCTAGCCGAAAGATTGATTAGAAATTAAGCAGATGTGAGACTGATTTAGAAGCATAATGGAAAAATCTTTTCATTTCATCCTGCCTTGCTTCTTCCATGTCTTTAGGTAGCCATGAACCAAAAACACTACAAGCATCTTATGGATTCTCCCTGTTAGTGCCACATAACAAATTTAGCCACTCTAGAGTGCAAAATTTAGCTATTCCAATCCTACACACATGCAGTCTACTATCATCAGTATAATAATATACAAAAATTTACTCAACATAACGTCGCTTGCTTTATTCTCTTGGTTCCTACATTGCCATGCTAAGTTATCAACACATCTATTCAAAGTGCAATTTCTGGTTTATTTTTTTGCATATAACATTTCCACAAATTTAAGATTGCATGGTTCAGTATAACAGATGCAAGGCTTCTCATGAGGTTATAGCATAAAGAAGAGACCTGCTTCTTCTCCATCACCTCTATTCGTCCAGATAACTCTTTAACTACATCAATCATCTGCAAACAGAATTAGTGTGAGAAATTTTGCAATAGATAGACTAGAACTAAGCATGTTAGCTAGACTGAATGAACTGAAGCATGAAACAAGGATGATAAGATGGAATGCAGATATCAGTTGAGTTCAAAGTTACAACCTTGGCTTCTGTGCATGATTCAGAGTCCAATAACTGCACCAGCAAATTAGAATGCCCCAACGACAGCTTATCAACTTCAGAATCTAAGGTTTCTGGCAAATTAGAGTTACCATCCAGAATTGCACATTTGACCTCTTGGGCATACTTGCAGCTATATGCATCATTATCTTCAGTTTCAGTAGTATTGGCATAAAAATCAGAATGCCACTGCTGATCAGGAAAAGTCATGCGCCCTTGTAACACCTGATCAAAGCTCAGCATTTTTCCCTGCTTATCAGGGTACTGTTGTTGTTGCACTGGAACCACCCTCTCTGGTGATGTGTATTGACAATCCAGTTCATCAAGACCACCAAAAGATTCATTACCTGAGCTTGCATGTTCCACATCCACATCTCTTGTCCCAACTTCCTCAAATTTATTCTTCTTCACTATGTCAGCATATGACTTCACAACCTTTTCTGATTTGAGGTTATTGTTCCCCTCACACTCTGTTGCCCATCCAGGTGATATCACTAATTCTCTCCCATGATCATCAGCTGGTGCTGCGGCAGGGGGCATCTAGAAATTGTTGGGGGGAGAAGGAGAAGGAGTAAACATATCCATCAAAACACGTGTTTGAGCATGATCCAATTCAAACTTGAAAAAATGGAGCTTCTGGCCAGGGACACCGGGTGTGTTCTGATAGTAATTGGCTATAATAGCATTTCTGAACTGATTCTCTGCTAGCGGGAAACACCACACCCTTACCCGCATTGCAACCTAAACAAATAAAAGGGCATGAATATAGAAGCCATTTTACTGAGAGTGAAAAAGAAGATGGCATTCAAAGTACAGACACCAGGGATTGTACCTGGGGAGGATAGCTTGTTTTGCCCTTGCTATCATGTGACCATGCATTTGATTCAGGGCAGAATTTGCCATTCCCTGCAGCTTCGTAAATACCATACAATCTGCGATCATCATAATTGAAGAGGAAGAGAGGTAATCCTTCCTTAATGTTTCGTACATATGAAATATGTGATTTTGGCAAGCCTGAAACATGACACAAATGGTAACTAAGTCAGTGGATCACTCAACAAGTTGATATGCTTTGGAAGGCATGGAATGATATACCCCCCTCACAGGAAAAGACACAAATGCATTACAGGGGTAGCTCAGTTTTGTAAAAACAAAGCTTAGAGAGGAGTTGTGATCAAGAGAGATCAAGAGCATACCAAAAAGTTGCCGTGAGTGACACTCTTGAATGGTATTGTTTGTGCAACCAAATATCACAGCTCCAAGGTCTTGCGGTTGGAGGTTTCTTGCAGGAATGGACAGGTTTGATGGCCTGGTGTTTTTTACAACTTGGCTCCACGAGGATTTGCTCGTCACCATTGTACTGATACTAGCAAGATGAGAAACAAAAGGAAAGGATTAAATATACTGCACTGTCCAGTTGATGTATACCCAGTTGCATGTTTGATGCATGAGGCAAGAAAAGGTAATGTTCTTCAGGAATCACAGCTACTTATTTTGTAAACATGAAAGCAAAGATCAAATGACAGTAATGCAAATACTGAAATACACATAATCAATTTGGTATTATCATATCATTTGACTTAGGTTATTGTACACTAAAGTTCAAGAAAATTCTCACTTGCAGCACAGTATATTTTCAGAATTGTTTTCTCTGATTCGTCACAACAGAAAAGAAGGCAACATAATTAGGTACATCTACATATCAAAGTGAGGAGATGACCCTTTATGAGATTTTATTTTTCATATCACGGTGCACAGATGTTTTGGGAGTGGCCCATTTTGCACAATTTAGTGATGATAGTAATAATGCAAACTGAATTTCAATGATGAGTAGTACTGTATGCAGCTACATTACAAGGTCAGAGTCTCAGGTTAAGCTTGGTAACAAACTTCAACAGATGCGACTGCCCCTGGTTCCTGAGTGTTGATATGTACTAGCACATGGAGATGAAGCTCCAGTCACTCGTAGATGGAATGGAGTACCAAAATGATGTGCAACAGTTCAATCAATGTCTCAGTACAATGCCCAGTCCTCCACACAAAAGAAATTGTAGTGGGGCCACAGGGCAAAATTAATGAAGGAACTGAGCAAGTTGTACATGAAGGCACCAGTAATTGGGTAAAGGTGACACATGCGAAATCAATGAAGTGGAATACGGGAGAAACCTAGATGGCCACTTGATGTTCATTCTAGAAGCAACAACAATTACTCAGGGAGGGGGGTGAAAGGAAAATCCTCCTAACCCAACAAAACCCTGTTCTGTTGACGAGTCTTCAATGCTCTGCATAGATGGATGAAGGCTACATTGCGTTATCGGCTAGGAGTAGGAGCGAAATCCTACCCTCGACCGAACCATCAGCACAAGCACACGAACCAATCCAATCATCAGTAACAAGCGCAGCGCATGATTGATCGAGCAAAACCGCTACTTTTCGTGAGTGAAGTAGTTGGACCCAAATCCATCCAAGAAGCAGAATACGACCAGAGCAGAAAATGATGCGAGAGATTATCTCGTGCGGACTGACGAAAGGCACAAGCTTTATGGTGTTCCGCTGGTCGGCGGATCAAGCAAGAAAGTGCGGACTAGACGAAAGGGAAAGGAAATGCTGCGGTTGGGGTTTCGTGGTACGGCCCGTACCTTGAAATCGCTTTGCTTTGCTTGGGGTGGAGCCGTGGAGGAGTACCAAGCCCCACTGCCGCACTGTTCCAAGAAGGAAGAGGACGGAAGGCGGCGATCGCACTCGCAGCGAACTCCTCGCCCACGCCGATCGAAGTGGTTCTTGCTCGCACTCATAGGCCGGCGACGAAGCGAAGGCAGGGCGTGGATGGAGTGAACTGCTCTGCCTCTGCCTCTGCCTCTCTGGCCTGGCCTCTGATGAACCTGCGCGGTGAGAAGAGAAGGGAAAGGAGCAGTGAAGGCTGATTGATGAGGAGGGAAGGTGAAAAGGTAATGCACGTTTAGTTCCCAAAATTTTGTAAAATTTTTCAAGATTTTTTGTCACATCAAATTTTTGACCGCATGCATGAAGCATTAAATATAAATAAAAAATAAAACTAATTACACAGTTTAGACGAAATTCACGAGACGAATCTTTTAAGCCTAATTAGACTATGATTGGATACTAATTGCCAAATAACAAATAAAGTGCCACAGTACTATTTCCCAAAAAAAATCGCCAACTAAACAAGGCCGTAGTGGTGGGTAGAAAAAGCAAATGCTATTTTTACTGCTCCGCCTCGTCCGTCCTCCCCGCGTTACGCGTGTCACCTGTTCGCTGATGCTAAAATTATGCTGAAATGTTGTAAGAGAAAACACTATTCTATAATTAAAAAGTAGTTGTGAATAAGAAAGCGAACACATCCGACAGAGGCACAGACACACTATAGTTGCTGTTTTCCGGAAGGGGCGGCACCTGGGCAACAGGATGTGTCCGGATGCAGCTCTCGCGCCCAGCTCCCCGCATCCCGCACCCGCATAGCATCCTAAGCCTCACGTCCACCCACATCGCGCATCAGCATCTGGAACCGTGCCCTTGCGCTCATCCCTCGCCCGCATGGAAAAAACCACATGGATCCCAAGTCAGCTACCTCACTTGCGGATGCACGCCGTGGAGGTATGTCGGCCTCGAATACTCGCACGTCACAAACCACAATGGTGCCCTAGCATCATCACCAGGCGGCTGCGGCAGGTCGTTGTCCACCAGCCATCAAAAAAGTTTATTGCAACATGTGCAACACCCGATCTACTTTTGAAACATGCAGATAAAACATTTGCAACATACGTCTAAAACGGATGAAACACTTGAAACATGCTCTCAAAACATGCGTGTATAACCATAACAACATATACAATATCTAGATCCACTTTTGCAACATTCATAAACAATTGCAACATAAGTCTGAAACATCTAAAACACCTGAAAACATACAATTAAAACATACGTGTATAGCTATAGCAACATGTGCAACATCCAGATGAAACACTTGAAACACACGTTTGAAACACATGAAACACTTGAAAACATACGCTTGTAACATATGTGTATTGTCATTACAACATATGGCAACATCTCAGATATATACTTTTACAAAATCCAAATGAAAACACATGAAACGTAAGTCAAAAACGTCTGAAACATTTGAAACACAGCGTCGCCAACAGCCACGGCCTACATGGTGAGGGAACTGCGGTCGTCAGGTGACGTCACTTCACGTGCTCGCCCCCGTTGGCGTGGCCCATCGCTCCTCCTACGATTCTCCCACGCCTGTTCGTGGCCCAGGCTCGTGCTCGTCGACACGGCCCTACTCTTGCTACTCCAACGCCGTTGTTCACTCGACCGCGGTCGTCCAGCGTCGTCCTCTCGCGAGGCAAGGCATGGTCAGCGACGGGGTGCAGCGCGGTGCGGGAAGGGCGTGGCGTGGCGGGAGACGGGAGTGCGGTGGGGCGGAGTGGATGAGCGGATGAGCGGAGTGGGGGCTTTTTTATTGTTGAGAGAGAGATGGGGCCGGTCCGCTGCGCAGGTCTAGGTCTCGCGCCCGAGACACCCGTAGCATATCATTATCGTTTCCGTTATTACACGCAAAGATTAGAAAGGAACTGAGAAAAAAAAGAATAGAATGCCCCGGTCCTCCAAAAAATATATAGTGAGGCCGCATGGCAAAATTCGTCCTGTTCGCTTGGCTTATAAGCCATACTTTTTCAGCCAACGAACAGTATTTTTCTCTCACAACAAATCAACCTTCTAGTCATGGCTTATCAGCCAAGCGAACAGGGCAATTAACGAAGGAAATGGAATAAAAAAAGCAGGGGTGGATGAATCAATGTCGCATGTCCTGTGCGTGAAGGAAGGATGGCCCACCTGTCATAGGCACAAAGGCAATGTCGTTTCCATTATTACAGGAAAGATTAGGAGGGAAGGAAGCAGTTTCCCGTTACGGGAAACGGTGGCCGTTCTGCTACTCTACGTGGGCCACTTATGGCTATTTGGCTATAGCCCGGCGTTGGCCCAACTAAGCCCACTCCCTCGGGCCGTGCACTTGAGTTCAGTTTCTCCTCCTTTTCCAATTGTCACCTTTGTCCAATATTCAATTCCAGACTTGAAAATTCAAAAATTCAAAAAAAAGTTCCAGTTGATTAATCCAAGCAATGTGCTGCACTGCATGTACATATATAGGATTCTAAATTGGGATTTGGAGTTGATGATGTTGCAGTTGAAATTCCGTCAAAGAAATTTGGCATACGATTAGCATTTAGCTCACACTGAGGAGATCGTAAGCTTCATAGAACTTAGGCAGAAGAAAACGAGGACGTGATGAAGATGATCTTTAGGTGTATTTGTACCGGCATAAAGCTGAAATCAAAGAAAGAATGAACCAAAACGAGAGGATGTGGCTTTCAATATAAGCTGGGCCAATGTGCCTTTGGTCTAAAAAAACGAAAGGACAAGTAAGAAAGGTGAAGCTAAGGCCTTCTCCAACGCACAAGGCTGGAGTGCTGCCCCAACATCCATATAAGCATCGAGTGGCCATGTCCATGCTGAACAACAGCCTCACAGGAGGCTAGAGATGCCTGCAGAGGCTGCGGTGGTTCCGTCTGACAAAAGAGGGAGGCACCTACTCAGGTGCGCGTTGCAGAGAAGAACGGCTCCAACATGAGGGGCCACATCTCATATACAATTGAAGAGGTGAAGCAGGCTATGGAGTATGGACCCTAAAGGATTAGGATCTGTTGCGGCTTGCGTCGTAGAAATGACTGCTGTAGCTGTTGCTTATCTCCTAAAATTCCTGTCACATCGAATGTTTGACACATGTACGAAGTATTAAATATAGATTAATTATAAAACTAATTATACAACTTGCGACTAATTTGCGAGACGAATCTTTTAAGCCTAATTAGTCCATAATTTGACAACATGGTGCTACAGTAAACATGTGGTAATAACGGTTTAATTAGGCTTAAAAAATTCGTCTCGCAAATTAGCCTCTATCTATATAATTGGTTTTGTAATTAATCTATATTTAATACTTCTTATTAGCATCTAAACATTCGATGTGACATGAATTTTAAGAGTGACTAAAAAACCAAACACCCTCTTAGTCTAGATGGCTTCTTTTTTTTTTTCTTTAGACCACTATAGAACATTAGCCTCCATTGCCCGTGCAAGACAAACATAAATACAGTTTTCTTCACTAGGACCCTACTAGTACTACACACAAGTTTTGTGCAAACAACCTACGTCAGCGAGGCTGACCTGCAAGCTAAGTTGTGTTGTGTAGATTAGAGCCAGAGAAGCATGTACCCACCTTTGCAAGTATTGCAAATTTACCAAGGATGTTTGGTCCCAATGAAATGCTTGGTGTGGTCTCACCAGTTTCGCAGAGCTTGATTAAAGTGGGTCTACATACAAATGATGGTGTAAATGTCCATCTCTAATTGACAATGGGCAGGAAAGTTGTTTTCATGGAATAATAATATATTTTCCATGGCACATTTGCATTTTCATGGCACATTTGGGTATAATTGTTGTATATTCAATGGCATGAGTTACTTACACCTCTAACAAGGCCCGACATCTTCCCTGTGCTACTGCTATAGTTTCACATCCATTGTACTACTAAACATCTAGGTACAAATTCTGAAATGTATCACATTAGTTCCTAGTTCACTACCGGAAACAGTGACTTTGCCGTGTGCCACAGACAAAAAACACTCAGCAAAGGCTTTGCCGAGTGTAACACTCGACAAACACACACGACATCTACAGTGTCGGCAAACAGCTATTTGCCAAGTATTTTTATTGCGCACACGGCAAATGGTTTGCCTAGTGTCAAATTTAACACTTGGCAAAAAAAGTGGTTTGCCGAGTGTTTTCCAAAATACACTCGGCAAAGGATTATTGTTTGCCGAGTGTTTTTGGGAATTACACTCGGCAAACCTATTTTTCAAAGAAAAAAAATATTTTTTTTAGCATATCATTATTGGTTGCCAAGTGTTTTAGGGAATTACACTCGGCAAACCTATTTTTCAAAGAAAAAAATATTTTTTTCTCAGCATATTTCAGTTTAATATCTTGATTAAACAGCATGACATTCTGAATACCCAGAAATTCACGTATAGCTATGACGTACAAATATAATATCTTGAATAAACAGCATGACATCCAGGTAGACCAAGTCCTTATGTAAAAGATAAATTCACAGGCACGCAACTGTTGATTGTGAAGGAGATCATGTAGCAATGTACAATGTATGAATTCACAATCATGCAATTTGTCTGACTTGTTTGAAGCATATATACATTCACTAGTTCGGCAAAACATTCTCTAACAAGGTAAAACAAAACAAGGGAATTCTGAATATTCAGTAAAGGAACACAAATAGGATACAAACAGATGAATGAGAATGACAAGTTCAACCTCAAATTGTTGCTAATTGCATGGCTGCTAGACAACTTTCAAGCATATACTTACTGAGTGAAAAAAATGTTTTGTTGGTCGAGAAATGGCTCAGATTTATCCATTATCAGCATGACAACTGCAACTTAATTTCACCTGAAGCTTAATTTAATTCTCTCTATCTAATGGGAATTGAACTGGCCACAGAACTGGTTGCTTGTAATGGTACAAACCATCCTAGTTCAGCAGCAAACAGAACAAAATATCCCAAGTACCAGCTCATAAGGTGCTAAAGTGTAGAAGTTCTCTAATGGAAACTTGATTCATCACAGCCATTCAAGAGTAGTACAAAACAAAAAAAGTCACAAGGCATAGTTAGGGAAAGGGAGAGCAGCGCGGCATGAGACTAGGGTTCCATATCATCTCAGCTCCGCAAATATCACATATCAAAATGATTGATCAGGTTGATATATGCAAGATATTCAAGATACTATTTTCATAGCATCTCACCTAACATTCAATGCACCAAATACCAGGTGATGTGTTCACATACCAGATTTAGGAAATATTAAATTTCTTTCTATTATGTGCAAGGTTAAAATGTAGCTTTGAAATTATATGTATAACATCATCTAACCCCAAAAGCAACCAGGGTAACAAAACATACAAGAAAATTGTATTTTAACTTTGCAATAAAATCTTCTTATAACATTGCTCCCTCAAATTCAAATATAATGACAAATACTTTAGAATGTTTAAACTTCTAATCCACAAGCTAATGTTGAGGACCCTTATATCTATTTGCCAAATCTGGTGTGACTGAATAAAGAATATGATCAGGAACCATGGTCTAAGAACATGAACAAGCCTTTTTAACTACAACTTCTATGGAACATGACACTGAATCGTTGTTAGAAATTTCCAACTACTGACAAACATCATTTATAAATGAATGATAGAAGAGCACCTTGGGTGCGATTTGTGAGATAGGCAGATAGTACTTTAGTACATTAGTTGTTCAAATAATTTCCATGATGCCAGACTGACTATTATTCTAGGATACAACAATCATCACAAGGTATGGTGTACTGGTGTATCACCCTCTAAGAGCC